CTTAGACCGCTACGCGTACTTAGACCGCTACGCGTACTTAGACCGCTACGCGTACTTATCCCGCTACGTATACTTAGGCCGCTACATGTACTTAGGCCACTACGTGTACTTAGGCCGCAACGTGTACTTGTGCGAGTTTTGTAAATACGGCCTCGTATTAATTATTCGTACGTGGCACGCAATTCTAGAAATACCTAATGTCTATATTTTAATAATAATGTTTTATATCAACGAAGTATTTACACACGGAAATCGCAATTTTCTAAAACTCAATCAGCATTAAACGCATTGCTAAACTGTAAGAAATAATGCAAGATATAATATGCAAATTGATATTGTTAAAAAATTTCATTATTTGCTTATCAAATTTAATACAGCAAGGTCGAGAGTGGGGATAAGTCGAGGAAGTGAGAGGGGGAGGGCTCGAGAGAGAGGGAGAGACCGAGTGGGATTGAGATGGAGAGAGAAGGTGTGAGAGTGAGCGAGAAAAAAAAGCGTGAACCTTCTTTGAAAAAGCGTGAAAAAAGCGGGAAGGTGAGAGAGAAGAGTGAGATAGAGTGAGAGTGGGGTGAGAAAGAGAGGAAGTGAGAGTGGGGTGAGCTAGAGAGGGAATGTTACACAGCGTGAATGTTGGATAGAGGAGTGACATAGAGTGAGAGTGGAGTGAGGAAGAGAGTGGGGTGAGAAAGAGTGGGAGTGAGAGTGGAGTGAGGAAGAGAGTGGGGTGAGAAAGAGAGGGAGTGAGAGTGGGGTGAGGAAGAGAGTGGGGTGAGAAAGAGAGGGAGTGAGAGTGGGGTGAGAAAGAGAGGGAGTGAGAGTGGGGTGAGGAAGAGAGTGGGGTGAGAAAGAGAGGGAGTGAGAGTGGGGTGAGAAAGAGAGGGAGTGAGAGTGGGGTGAGGAAGAGAGTGGGGTGAGAAAGAGAGGGAGTGAGAGTGGGGTGAGAAAGAGAGGGAGTGAGAGTGGGGTGAGGAAGAGAGTGGGGTGAGAAAGAGAGGGAGTGAGAGTGGGGTGAGAAAGAGAGGGAGTGAGAGTGGGGTGAGGAAGAGAGTGGGGTGAGAAAGAGAGGGAGTGAGAGTGGGGTGAGAAAGAGAGGGAGTGAGAGTGGGGTGAGGAAGAGAGTGGGGTGAGAAAGAGAGGGAGTGAGAGTGGGGTGAGAAAGAGAGGGAGTGAGAGTGGGGTGAGGAAGAGAGTGGGGTGAGAAAGAGAGGGAGTGAGAGTGGGGTGAGAAAGAGAGGGAGTGAGAGTGGGGTGAGGAAGAGAGTGGGGTGAGAAAGAGAGGGAGTGAGAGTGGGGTGAGAAAGAGAGGGAGTGAGAGTGGGGTGAGGAAGAGAGTGGGGTGAGAANGAGAGGGGGAGGGAGGGAGGGGAGAGGGAGGGGGGGGGTTGAGGGGAGAGTCTGAGGGTCATTGCCCGCACGGCCAAGGCCACCGTCTCCCTCACTCTCCCTCTCACTCTAACCCTCTCTCTCTCTCACTGCAACTCTCTCTACTTCTCAGACACGTAATCGCTTTACTGCTCGCTCTTATCCTCTCTCCCTCTCGCTCTTATCTTCTATCTCTCTCACTCTAGCCCTCTCTCTCTCTCTCACTCTAGCCCTCTCTCTCTCTCCCTCTTTGACATGTAATCGCTCTATCTCTTTCCACCACCTTTCCTAATTCCACTCGATCTTTCGTGTAGCCTAATTCACTAGAAATTTTTTTTTTGAAGTAACGTGGCACTCAAAATTCTTTAATTTACATTTTTTACACGCAACGAACTAACTCTCAAGTGAAGTTTAATTTTCCAATGCATTTATCGAGAACCTTTTTGTATGCCGATCATGTTTTTAATATTTGAAAATTTTAAATTTCTTCTTCTGCATAAAATCCTATGGAAACTTCTCCATTCGATCGCAATTTATTAAAGCTGTGTTTTCGTCACAATTTTTTAGATTGTGTAGTACAAAGCGTGTTCTTTGAATTAAAAATAATTATTGTTGCAATGTCATCGCGACTGAGGCGTTAATTTCTTAAATCCACGTTTAAGTAATCCATGTTGATTAATTCTCACACACAAGATGAATTTACGGTTAGCGCTTCATACATCAACGCTAATAATTAAATTAATTATTGCTTATTTCAATGAATTAATTTGTAGTTAACTTCGAAAGTCTATTGATAGTTTCCTATATTTAGTCTGAACTAAGTTTCTTGCTGAACTAGAGCCGGACAATTTCTCTTTAATTTTCCGATGTCAACAAAATTATAACGTTGATTTGAAGCGTTAGTTAAACTTTTAATAATAAATTTTTCGTCTGGGAGCTTTTTGTTCTTGTTTGGGCAGTAGTTGGGGTAACTTCTTAGGGTAACTTGTTAGGGTAGTTGTTCGGGTTACATGTTAGGATAGTTTCTCAGGTAACTTGTTTTGGTAATTTGTCATGGTAACTTTGTTGGGTAGTTGTTAGGGTAGTTCTTAGGGTAACTTGATAGGGTAGTGGTTTGGAAAACTTGATAGTGTAGTTATCACGTTAACTTGTCAGGGTAATTAGTTAGGGTAACTGGAGTAAAGTTTTGTGAATAGAGAAGCCCCCCGGCGACAGCGTGTCGTCTGACAGGTCATCGCTCCCTGGTGGGGGCTAAGAAAGAGGGGTCCTGAGGGACGAAGAGGGGCCGAGGTGATAGGTCCTGAGGGACGAAGAGGGGCCGAAGTGATGGGTCCTGAGGGACGAAGAGGGGCCGAGGAGAGGGGCCGAGGTGATAGGTCCTGAGGGACGAAGAGGGGTCGAGGGGATAGGTCCTGAGGGATGATGAGGGACGAAGAGGGGTCGAGGTGATAGGTCCTGAAGGGCGAAGAGGGGTCGAGGTCCTGAGGAGCAGAGAGGGAACGAGTGGTGAGAGGTTGAGTGTCCCGAGTGGGGGTGTGGAGAGTGCTGGTCATGAGGCGGCCTTCCCCCTGAACTCTGTGCAGTTGGCCTGAGGTCGTTCACTGCACCACAATCGATTGAACAGCTGTGACAGCAGCCGCAGCTGCAGCAGCTATGTGCTCATGACATTTTATGTGTGCACAATACATGTATTTTCTGCGTATTTCCTGATGAAGTTTGTACTCGATGAATTATTTATTTATTTTTATTGTCATTATAGGTACCGTTTATTTTGCTGATGTTTAAAAAAGTTGTGCCCTAGAGAGAGATGTGCACTGGATGCGTGAGGTGCAGAAGAGGTGTCAGTGAGGGTCAATGGCCAGCCTTGCGAGGGCACAGGTGTTCTCAGCACAGCTGCTGTGCACACCTCGCATCTGTACCGTGAAATGCGCAGTTATAATTTCCTAGTTTATCTAAGAATACTTTATATATGCAAGCGTCTTGTATGCTATACATAAAGGTTCGAGTTATTGAAATGATCTAATGTCCACGGTCGTAATTTTAATAGAATATAAACTGGACGAGGCACGGCACTAAGTAATTGTATTAATAAAAAAATCATTTTTTAAAAATGATTTTAGTGATTTTTAATCATTATTGATTCAATTAAAATATATCCCGGAGTTATCATGTACTCGATATTCAAAATTTGAACTAATTTAATACACAAGCTATACAGTCACCCAGACCAACAGTTTTTCAAATGAGTTAGGCGAAATAATTATACAGTCGCACATTTAATATAGGTACCTAGTACCTTAGCTATAAAACATACATTATCATTAATGCTGTTAAAATACTCAGCTGGGGGCCCGCCGATAGCTTTTATTCAGTCTCTCGAGGTTATAGATTTATTTGATTACATTTTACTTTAATCCCACAATAGGAATAATCGTATACCAATTGAGGGACGGCTGCTGGGCCCTTTGCTGTCCGCCGTGTTGTGGCCTGATGGACGACCAAAAAACGACGAAAAAAATCAAAATACGGCCTAATTCGGCCTCAGTTCAATATATATAAATATATCGGAAGGTTGTTTAGCGAAATAATTCAATTTTTAGTGTTTTTAGCCATTACGTTTAAGGCTACACTGGATTTCTAGTCGACTAATTCTAATAGACAATGCCAATTTGGCTGACAAAAGAATAGGCCAATTTGGCCTTTTCTATTAGAAAAAAGGCTAATTTGGCATTCTCTATTGACAGAAAAAAAGAAAAGGCCAAATAGAAAAGGCCAATTTGGCTGACAAACAGCAGCTCAACTAACAATCTTGGACGGCGTTGTGTTCGAATTTCAATATGAAAATATGGGTTTTACTTACACTATATTAATGATGAAGACTCTCTCATCGTTAATTCATCAACAAAAACTTGCTTGCATAATTTTACCTTTATTGTATGTCTGGGTTAATTTATTTTGAAGTTCGTCTCTTAACAACACGGACGAGCATTCACAAATCTTGATTATTTAATGTTATAAAATGGTCATTACAAAATATATCGACCTTATAACGTGTAAATTTTAAGAAAAGAAGAAAGTAAAATTTTGCAAAAATTGAGCTTTTTGCCACGACAAGGACAAAAAAAATCATTTGATCTACTATCGCTCAGTGAATTCAGTTTTAGAATTCAGAGGCTTTTTCCGGACGGTGAAGTGTGAACACTTGTGATAATTTACTTCCAGTCGAGGTTGTTCAACTCTGGACACGATGACTTGTCAGTATTCCTCCTCACGATCAAATGCATTGTTTCGCCTAGTAAATTGATCAATAAAGATCGTTTGATCTTAACTGATTCATGATCTTCAGTTGTGCTTATCCATGTGTTCTAGTCATGAGTTCATGCCTGTACTAAATTCCAATTATTTTCTGAAGTGAATTGACATACATTCACAGTGTATTTCATTTTAACTAGAACTTTGAATTTAATGTTTTTGTCTACTATTATCATTATTAGTAGCTTTGATTAGATTCTTCATTCTAGTAAATTTCATACATTGTACAATTTTTCTTTTCACTTTTATCTGCTCACATATTTCTCTAATGCATATTTATTGACGTACTAAATGTGTTGTGTTAACTATCTTATTTTTTGTTTCAGATAAAATCCCATACAATAGCTAGGGCGCCTTGTTATGATTTCCTCTAGGATAGCATATCAAAGGCACAGTGGCAACTTGTATGACATTAAAGGGACAGACTTTTCGCTACCTCTGACTATACTGAATGGTTAAATAAGGTATAAAATATTCCCAAATTTTTAGACTCAATTTCATTGTGTGCGGCAAGATGGCAGACGATCAAACTCAGCACGATGACCAATGGGACCCGAGAACTGTGTCCGAGCAACAGTGGGCTAGCAAGGTTACGTTTACAGTGTACGACGCGAGAGCGGATCCGCAGACTTGTGGGACAGACTACGCCAAAACTACTTTACCAGCAGTACTCGATTTGCAGCCTTCAGAAAGCATGGATGGTGTGAGTGTTGAGCTTTCCATTGATTGTAGGCGTAATTTTTACGCTTCATTAAAGGCTAAGCCTGTTGGATTTATAGGTATAGATGGTCTGGTTAATGTCCTAGCATGTAAGTTGAGGGCATTAGTAAAAAGGAATGGAAACACCGTGTCGTCAACGGAAGATGATTTCTCCAGCGACAAAAAAGGACGAACTTCGCCGAAATGTAGCTTAGGTGCACGTGACAAGCAAACGAGCCATTTTTTGTTGAATGTGAACCACGCGCCTGGGAATTCTCAGTCACAGTGTAAATTGAACTCGAATGAAGGGCCGCTCGATCTTTCTATCAACGGCATGTTCATCGAGCCTGGTTTGGATTCATATTCGGAAGCAAGACGAAGTGGCATGACAAGGCATAATGAGGTTCATAGTCCAAGTCAAATTGATAGCTCGGATGATCGGAATTCTGTTCAAAAATTCATTGAACGTTTTCGGTCTAGAGAGGCTTTGAACTTGACGTGGGTTTGTCAGTACATCCAACGTAATATGGATAAGGTTAAAACCTCCTCAAATAACGAGTGTGGCGAAGTGCAACCCATTTCTCCTAACTTTTCTTGTACCCCGACTGGAAAGGTCGACTCCGGTTCCTCGGATGCCAAAGATCGCCTCACTAACCTGATCGAAAATTTGATTTCCTCTGATTTGGGTACATCATCAAAGATTGAAAGCTCCAGTTCGAAGATTCCAGCGCATCAAATGAAAAAGAAAAACAAACAAAGAATCCAAAACTGTTCAACTCAGCTCATGGACAACCACTTTAAAATGCAAGAAGCCATAAGACCATCCGCAATCGTGAACCTCTACCAACCTCTGTCAACTCCCGATGTATCTTCAACTTCTTCAATCAACGAGGAAAAACTACTTGCATACAGGAACTGGGCGAATAACAGGTACAATTCTTTCCATGAAGAACTTCATTCGAGTCTGGATAAACGCGTTGTCGCTGCTGCTGATGGGAGTCGGCGTAGACGAGGTTCGGCCGCGCGTTTGGTGAGTCTGAACTAAAAAGTCTGATCGACTCAGCGTTGCTTGCTGGCTGATCGTCGCGCTTGCATCCCATCTTGTAGAAGTCGTGATGTAGATTGTGTTGCTTCATTGCAGCTCATGTTGCTTCGTTGTAGATTGTGTGGCTTCATTGCAGCTCATGTTGCTTCGTTGTAGATTGTGTTGCTTTATTGCAGCTCATGCTGCTTCGTTGTAGATTGTGTGGCTTCTTTGTAGATTATGTTGTTCCGTTCTAGTAGTTGCAAAGTATTTTGCATTTGTTGAATTGAGTTTAGCCTGCATAGAGTAATATATTTTGTCAAAATGAATATTCCTGCTTGCTCAATTCATGAGAAAATGTAAAAAAGTCGTCTGTTTGAAAACCTTACTGAGTCGGCACCTGCTGTTTGTCATTGATGATTGCATTTTTTCATTCGCTTGTTTACGATTTTATTTATATTCTTCATGAAGAAATAGTGACAAACGTGTGACCTTTTGTACGTAGAAATTTTTGCATCGCAGTCGTGGAGGTCTCATTTGAAACTTGTTTTCTAATAAGAAAATAGCATCAACCGAATTGAATAAAAATAGCAATAAACAGATTGATTCACTCATAAAGACCGAATGACAATTCCAGACTGAATGTATGTATATACATATAGTAATTTCATTATTCCCAGGCACGATTTATCGAAGTCCATGGGATTGATAGAGCTGCAAGTAAAGTATACTATATACGCGATATTTTAAAAGTTATTTTTATTGAATGCTTGATAATTATTTGATGAGTGCATCATTGTGTTTGTTGACAGCTTACTGATAACTCAACGAGTAGTAAATTGTAGTTGTTCTGTGCTTCCAAGTAGTGGATGAATACATTATTGTATTTGTAGAGTACATATATAGGTACTATATACAGTATCTCTTGGACGAGCATGACTCATATATTCTTATTTTGACATGATGAATATGTCATTAGAGTTAGTATGAAAAGTATTGATTATTCTTTGTGCTTTTTGTTGTAGAATATCCTTGAAGCATATCCTCAAATAGAACCATGTATGTGCATCTCAGGTGCATATTTGGACTCGAAAAATTTCAACAAAGTTCGAAAATATTTAATTAGGTACCGTATGGATCGGAATGAAAATGAAATACCGTTACTAATTTATGATCTTTGTTCTACTTGCGAGTATTACGTTTATCTGAACAATTCGCATATGGATCAAAACACGACGTTATAATCATTCTGCATGTGACCGAATTCGATTGTAGGTATCTTTAATGTTCCCACACTTGCTGATTTTTTTGCTCTGCTTTTCCATGAAATAAGTCAATCCTTTTTCATTCATATTCTTCTATACATAATATGTACGCTTTATGGACATGTAGGTTAGTGTAGGTTTACCTACACTGCTGATAAACATATTGTCTATCGTTTTTAATCTAATTATTCATTGTATTTCTAAACGACAACTCTCGATATAGTGATTGAGATATAATTTAAGATGAAATATGATTGAAGTGCCGTATTATTTTTAGTAAACATTTACAGACATTGCCGAATTCCTGCTTTGCCAATTTAAAGGCATCCAAAATAAAAATATTTCAGTGTTTAAAATTGCAATAGTTTGGATGAGAATTGAAAACTTTTTACTTGAACTGTTTATATTAGGTTCTGTAGTTAGGGAATTCCACTAATGAAAAGATTTATGTAATTTAGCAAGTATAACGTTGTTATTAAGTTGCTTTTTTGTGCATTTTTTAAGATTTGTAGTAGTTTACATTTTATTAATTTTTGGTGTATCATTTAGACACCCGCAACGATTTGCAAATTCGTAATATAACATTTTCCGGTTTTGTATATTAAACAATTTTTGTGATTGATGTTTGTGAGTAGCTTTCGATACATGTGTGTTTAGTAGTTATTGTATCGTCAGTTCAAATCGCCTGGTATACAAGCATGAATTTATAGTGAAATTGGATGTTATTTTAGATATCGTACGATACTTAGCACATATAGGTTAACTTCCCTTTACAATTAATGACAAATTTTGATGGTAAGGTTTCGTGAGGAAATTGTTTGGCTCAATATATTTGCAGGTGTAAAGTTTTATGATTTATTTATGCTCATTTAATCACTATTTGTTTGCAAATCTTGTACGTTGATAATTGTCATTGTGTGTGCCAGATTTTGCGTAGGTTTCTAAACTCACGTAAATTATATCATTCACTTGTATAAAAGAATCACAATTCAATGTTTAATTCAATTAAAAATATTACCTACAAAATAACAATTATTACGTTATAATAGATGATAATTTCCTAATTTATTTTAAAATTTTATTTCTATGTCTCATGTATTTTTGTTTGATAAAAATAAATAATCCTTATGTATTTTATTTCTTCATTATGAAATATCATATAATCACATATCTTACGTTAACAAGTAACGTAAGAATTTGTAATGTTACATAATAATGATAATATTATAATATAATATATTACGTGGGTAATAACGTAATCTGTATTCGTGTACAGGACATGGGAGTGTGGAGCACAGACATTATCCCCAGGGGCACGAAATTTGGACCCCTCAAAGGGGTTGTCTACAAACCCCACGAGCTTCCCCTCATACAGAACAAAAACTTCCTCTGGCGGGTGAGAGATTTGGTATTTTATTAACTTTTTCTATCATAACCTAATTGCCTAATACAGTAATACTATACGACGAAGTACATTTTTACGACGAAGTACTTCTTTACAGCGAAGTACTTTTTTAATTATATATATTTATTTTTAGGGAAAAGTCATGACTTATCCTGACTTATCCTGACTTATCCTCAGTAATATGCCTTTTTTGCTTGATTATTAATTATTCGTTGTGTGCTAATCGGGCATTAAATTAGTTCCATTAATCTTGACGTAAAGTATATGTCGCTAGAGTGTGAACATCGATTATCAGTCTGGTCTCTCCTTGTTTCAAAAATGCCTTTCAGAACGTCCAAACATTGTACACACTCGTCCAATAAAACCTCGATTACGGCGATTCTCTTACCAATTATAAACTTTAGTGAACGCATCAATTTCTTTTATCGCTGTCATCTGACTGCAAATACTCTGCAAATCTTCTAAACTTTTGTACACTTATTCAATAATTGCTCCTTTTTCTACACTTATACAAGAATTTATCCTACATTAATTCGGCAACTGCTTCATTTTCTACACTCATCCTCGAATTTTGCTCTAAAGTTATTCAATAACTGCTTGTTTTTCTACGCTTATACTATAATTTTTTTAATTAATTCAATAACTGCTCTTTCTTTACACTTATACAATAACTTCTTCTACAATAATTAAAAAACTGCTTCTTTTCTACTCTTATACAAGACTTTTGTTCGACATTACTCCAACAATCGCTTCTACTAGTACACGTATAAAATAATAGATCACGGTACGTCAGGTCTACAACGAGAACAACGAGCTGGACCACTACATCGACGGTCAGAACACCAGCAGGAGCAACTGGATGCGCTTCGTCAACCCCGCCATGAGCGCCCATACGCAGAACCTTGTCGCATGCCAGCACGACGTGAGATTAATAATGATAATTTAATTAATAAATAATAAATTGATAAATAAATTAAATTAACAAATGATAATAATGAATAATTAAATGTTGGAATTATTAATTTTATTCAGCGTATGCGTCTGAATAAAATATTATTCCTATTCATTGCATTCAGCGTATGCGTCTGAACGAACTATCCTTATTAATTGCATTCAGCGTATGCGTCTGAATGGAATATTAGTGTTATTCATTGCATTCAGCGTAAGCGTGGGAATGAAATATTATTCCTATATATTGCTAAAAAAATCCAAAATTTCATTGCTATTCTAACAAAAATTTTCCTTATTCATTGCATTCAGCGTATACCTCTAAATGAAATCTTTCACTTATTCATTTCATACATCCGCCTCTGAAAATTATTTTTCGCTCAGTGAACAATTTTGCCACCAGGGTGAGATATTCTTCTTTACTAATATATTGACATATTTCAATATTATTATGCTATTATATAATATTATTATGCTATAATATTGTTATGCTCACTGAACAATTTCCCCCCAGGGTGAGATGTTCTTCATTACTAATATAGTATTGACATATTTCAATATTAATATTCACCAATCGAACAATTTCCCCCCCACGGTGACATGTTCTTCATTACTAATATATTATTGACATATTTCAATATTATTATTCACCAATCGAACAATTTCCCCCCCGCCAGGGTGAGATATTCTTCATTACCAATATATTATCGACATATTTCATTATTATTATTATTATTCACCAATTTATCAATTTCCCCCCCCCCCGCAGGGTGAGATATTCTTCATCACGACGCGCACCATCCAGGCAGGCACGGAGCTGTTGGTGTGGTACTGCAAGGAGTTCTCCCAGCGCCTCAACTACCCCTCCTCTGCTGGCCAGATGATACAGCGACTGCAAGGTAAACTCTTCACGTAATGATGATATCTTTGCAATTTATTATGCAAATGAAATATATCTTATATATTTAGCTTAGAATTGTGTATATGATAGCGTTATTATTTACGTGTGTCATTAAGAATTTCAATTTATATTCAAATATAACATATATTTAGCTTAGAATTGTGTATATGATAGCGTTATTATTTACGTGTGTCATCTAGAATTTCAACTTATATTTAACTATTTAACTAACTATATTTAACTTATATTTATTAAGCTTAGAATTGTGTATATGATAGCGTTATTATTTTACCGTGTTTCATCTGGAATTTATTAATTTTAAAATTTTAATATTTTATTTTTTTTTAAATATTAATATACATATATCATAGTAAAGCATTTCTTGTATATAAGGTTAAATATCTCCAACTGCATTTATTGTATAAAAAGATTGATTATAACTGTACGTATATAAAAAAATAATCTACAATATTTTTTACTACTCGAGACGTCGTCAAAAATCATTCGGAAGCGATATCTCCGACATATTTAAATAGTGGGAGTTGATCCCGTAGATTTACGTGAAGAAATTTGATTCGTGGTTCTGCACAGTATTCAGTTCGCGCAATGATGTACCTATGTGTAGAATATCCACATGGCACTCATAGACAACTCGTTACCTACGCTCAAGATTTGACGCTTGGCATAAATATAATTATTAGTAGTTGCATAGAACGGCTAGATGCGTCCTCATTAAATTATAATGCATTTGGCATAAAAATATTTATTAGTAGTTGCATAGAGCGGCTAGATGCGTTCTCATAAAATTATAATGCATTTTCACCCCCGTGCATTTTCTAGATGAGTTTGAATTTCCACAGACACGTGCATTCCGTCGTCTGAAGTTCTATCCTCTTCGACATCGCATGCAGCTTCGCCCACTCAAAGCCGCAGCGATATCGAGGCAGAACCTGGATACGCTCCTTCCCCCCATGACTACGATCCCCCAAACCACCTTCTGGATCCCCCTAACCACCTCCTGGATCCCCCTAACCACCTCCTGGATCCCCCTAACCACCTCCTACACCCGAACCAGAGCAGTCATGTGGTCCAGAGCGGGAACCTTGAAGTCGACAGTCGTAGTCGGGCCGATGAAGGATATTGTAGCACGAGTCCTTCACGCACCAACGATGTCGAGGAATACAACTCAGATGCGATCGTCAACGAAAACAACTACAATACAGAGAAGCTATACAGGGAGACGGAATACAGATCGCCTGAGTACACTGAGCCTGTCAATGAGCCTATCAACTATTGGTAAGTAGAAGCTTTAAATTTCGTGTTGATGAGACTTACGATGATGAACAACTGTTTCAATGGTGCCTCTAAAAAATTTTTTATTTAGTCGAAAATTTTCAAGAATTAGTAGCTGAAATTTGCAATTGAATGCAATTTTCATTTATTGTTTCAAACCTTCTCTGACGTGACCTCGTTCTAACGCGCTGTGTACTTCGTCAGTGCATCGAAATCCCACGGCAGATAAAGGCATGACTCATTTAAAAAGTCTGGTCATGGGGAAACATTATAGGCTAAAGAAAGCACACATATTATATTATGTATTTAAATCTTTTATCTCTTCTATTATTCATCATTTCAAGTATTGTTTTTGGAGACGTTCGAATTTATTTGATTTCCTCGCAATAAGTGATCCAAATACACTAATTACGCATTCATAAAACTTCTCTAGATATGAGTTCCATTTTTTTTCTTGCAGCACGAAGATGTCAGAGAAAGATGCGTATATGAAGTCAGACGACGTCGAAGGAATGGATGTCGACCGCAAAGAAAGCGACCACAAAACTGACAATGCTGCCGGCTGCCGTAAGCTCAAAATCGCTTGGACCAAAACATACATCGGTAGCACCCAAGCCCACAAAGACCATGACGGTGTATCTTCATCTGATAACTGTCATTATGATCACCCCGATTATATTATACCTGATAATTTCAATGAAGAGCTCGTAAAGAAAGAAGAAAAAGATAACCATATCTTTGGTGTACAGCCACTCTTAAAAAGTTTACCAGATGACAAGTTCCGCAAGGAATTGACTGTACTACAACCAGCTGTTCTGGACAGGCGGGATATTCTTCAGAATATTCATCCAGCCGTACAAGTCACCCGTGCAAGTCAATATCACAAACTGAATCCTTTCCACGAGCGACTCTCTCCCCCAGGAGATATGGACATAACTTACAACAATATTTTAAAGACGCAGAGACGAAACCGAACCAATGAAATCAGGCCGCCTACAGAAGCCATGCATTATGAAAACCGATATAACTTAGACGCCGGTGAGAAATTATCCCCGATAGCCTCAGCGCGGCGATTCCAGGGACATTCCATTGAATATGGGAATCCAGATTCTTCAGTAGCTGATTCTCCACGGTCGTCATTTAACGTGTCGTCTTCGGGACGGATGTCGCTGGCTGCGCTCATTCCTCAAGATCCACGAGTTACTGTGACCCCCGACACCCACCTAAACTACACCCATGATCCACCTGGCGCTCCATCCGCTTCCATTCTAGAGTCCATTTTACAGAGAAATCGTGATCCCGCTCATCGATCCCCAATTCCCATGCAAATTTCGCCTTTATCTTCACCGCAATCCAGAACGTCGCCCCCGTCCAGCATGACTGCCGACTCCTCTTCAACTCACTTGACGCACTCTGACAAAGACGTGTACAACCCCCACGCTGGCTACGGCTCCATGCCGCCGGTCATGTCGACTGCCACTATGCCAATTTATTACGCAAACGATGGATGCATGCCTCCGGAATCGGCAAGCACTGGAAACTTCCCGCAATCGACGCCCATGAACCAACACCTCACCATTTCCATTCCAGCTTCGTCCGGACTTTCAACGCCTCCCTCTTCTTCATCACATTCGAGCAACAGTAGTGGCGAAGGTTCTCCTCCTAGCACATCCCAAAGAGGTTTCCGTTCACTGCCGTATCCTCTGAACAAAAAAGACGGCAAAATGCATTACGAGTGCAACATTTGCAAGAAGACTTTCGGGCAACTTTCGAACCTCAAAGTCCACCTCAGAACTCATTCGGGTGAAAGGCCTTTCCACTGCAATCAGTGTTCAAAAACCTTCACCCAACTCGCGCACCTCCAGAAACACAACCTCGTACACACAGGCGAGAAACCTCACGAATGTTCCGTCTGCCACAAGAGGTTTAGCTCAACTTCCAACCTCAAGACTCACATGAGGCTGCATTCGGGTTCCAAGCCATTTGAATGCGAGTTGTGTTCATCAAAGTTCACACAGTACGTGCATCTGAAGCTACACAAGCGTATCCATACAAACGAGAGACCCTTCAACTGCTCCATGTGCAAGAAGAGATACATCAGCGCCTCTGGACTCCGGTCAGTATTATAATATATATAGGCAGCGAAAAAAAATTAATAAATTTATTAATGTATTATCAAATTAATATGTTATTAAATTATTAAATTAAAGCGAAACAAGGGAACAAAAATTTCGAGTTCATAATCTTACTAAACAAATATAATTTATTCTTAAGTATTTTGCTCCTGATATAAATCGTGCAGCAATTCTCCATTATACTCGGGAAGTTTTATCCTGAACCTCGTGCAACTGATGTATCTAAGTTTCAGGTATCAATAAAATTAGTATATTTCGTAGATCCTCACTCCACAGCTAATTAAGGCATAGAGAACTCTAGCTCACTATTTTTTTGAAATGTATATTTCTATCCTAATTCAGGCATGAATAACTCTAGCGCACTAATTTTCAAAACGTATATTTGCATCCTACTAATTCAGGCAGGAATAACTCGAGCGCACTAATTTTCCAAATTTATATTTGCATCCTAACGAACAATTTTTTTCCCCACGACCAGCACTCACTGGAAAACCACGGCGTGCGGCCCTACAGACAGTGAAGAAGATAGGGAAGCTCAACGCACCTTGCAGAAGATGACCGATGGTGAGGCTAAACATTTGCATTTTTGTTGTTACACATGCCGGATATATTATAATAATTTAGCCTCGTCTTCTCGTGATTAGTTCCGTTAAAAAAATATATCCTAATTCTCTAAACTCCAAGTAACAAGTTCCTCTTTATTAGTACCTATCTCGTATGAATTAGTCGCATTTAGATAGAATTACATGTTATCCCTCAGTTTTTCCTGGAAGTAATTGCTGTTTAACTAGATTTAGATTTTATTCTCGTACTACCCTTTTAAACTAGTTATTCAGAGTAAACATCGACATTATATAACCAAAAGCTCACGCTTGTTTTCCATGATTATGATTATTATTACCTATTTATGATTATCCTCACATCGTTAAAAATTTCCCTAATGAAACGCCGACTTTCATTTGTGTTTCAGTTGGGAGTTGCGAGTCCCCAAGCTACGACGAAATGAACGCCAGCAACAGCCCCACGACTGGGGAATACAGCCCCAGCAACCTGGCCTCCATGTCCCCAGAAGCTCTAAGAGATGCGTACAAAGAGAGCATTAGCAGCGGGGACTCACATATGTCATCTGGAAGTGAGAGTCCTGTACAGACTGCACCTCTTGACCTGCAGCAGTCCTACAACATGCTCCCTCCAAAAATACCTAAGTCTCCCAAGTCCTACCACTTGTCTAAGTCATCAGTGGCCGCACTAAAAGAGGTTATCTCGCCACCAAGAAGTGTTCTATCTCCACCACATTCCATCTTATCTCCACCACTGAGCACTGGAAGCAACTCCCCACCTCCACTTCACAGACCACAGATGCCTATTTCACCGCCTAATGAATCCCAAAACCGATCTTTCTTAAACGCAGTTCACCCACCTATTAATGGGCACAATCTGCAGCACAGCGTTCACTCTTCCATGCTGCACAAGCTGCAACATAACTCTACTAACGGCTACAGTTCAAGACTTGATATCAAGTGTGAAACTGACTCGCGTAAAGGAGTTATTAAACCCAATACTAAAATTCCCGTACAATGCTCTTAAGTACTCGTCAGATTCTGTCCACGTGATAAGCTGTACAAAAATTCTCAATTGTGATTGCAAGAATGAGGTCTTGGAAACGTGATGGTTTCTATATTGAACTTTTGTCTCTTTCTGAGACAACACGACTTGTAGAAAAATAAAATTCTTTATCCAATAGAAAATACTCGGAAATTTTATTGAATTCCACGTTCTCAGTGTTGTGAATATTTAAAAGCTGTAATTATATTTTGAAAATATGTTTGTTCCTTTGGTGGATGTTCAAAGCTTGAAACTTGAAGTCAAAGGCCCCGTCTTTATTAGAAATGTTAATGGAAATTGAAAATTTTGAATGTAATAGAATTAAAAAATTATTTGGGATGGGCATGAGGCCTTACTCATACAAGATGATATCTTGCGCCTCTTTGTTTTCTGTGTGTACTTTCCTGAATGCGATTGTTGCTTTATCAGTAAAGAACGAGCAGCTGTGCCTCCCTTGCTCTTGAATGGATTAAGAAATTTTTGCAAATAGAAAAGAAAATTGCTCTAGATGTAAATTTTACCAACAGTAATTTGCAACTTTATGAAAAAATTATATTGTTAATCAAATCTAGGAAATCTTTTATTTCTAGAGCTCAGTCTCATCCATGATTGTATTACTTATCATAAGCTTTTAGCTAGGACTTTCGAAAAACAAAAAAATCTGTCGAAGTAAGATTTCAGGAATAAAATTGACCAGAATCTGTTGACAAATGTTTCAAGTATCAAGACTCTAATTTCTAATCATAAGGCTTATTTTAAATTTACATTTTTTCTCATTTGCGTCCGTTTTTTCTTGTTTGTTTGTATATTAGATTTTAATGAACAATATCTGTATTCTCAATAACTCGTGAAATTGTTTCTTCAATAACGTGTCACATGAGCCTGTTGTTAAAAGCACGTCAGCGAAGCGAAACAGAAGTCTCTTCATTCCATCCCTTCTTCCTCGTCCATGATCTTCTATTCCGTCCCAATCTCTGTAACAAAGTTCGTCCATTATATTTTATTCCGTCCTCTCATCCTTATCCATTCCGTCCTCTCATCCTTATCCATTCCGTCCCCTCATCCTTATCCATTCCGTCCCCTCATCCTTATCCATTCCGTCTTCTCATCCTTATCCATTCCGTCCCGTCATCTACCACGGCCGTCCATCTCGCCCACTCCGTCCTTCCCGTCCACTTCTATCCTCTAATTACTCATATGTTCTTATCACTTCTTGTTTCTTAAGAACTTCTCACATTTGTTACAAATATATCTTATTGCTTGAGTTTCGTAACATGTTTTGTTGTTACATTGTCGTGAGATGTTCTTGATTGTCCTTTTTACGACATGGGAGTTTAATTTCTTGTTCATTGATTGCGTTAACTTTGGATAATTTATGATATTGATGGATTTCTTTGTGCTGCTGTTGATATTCTACCTGTTAAGGAAACATTTAATTTGGAATGATCAGTTATTTCGACGGCCGGAGAACATAAAAGATATTCTAATTTCCGTGAACTGATAAGATACTGACTTGACGACATGGACTGATAAGATACTGACTTGACGACGTGGACTGATAAGATACTGACTTGACGACGTGGACTGATAAGACACTTGACGACGTGGACTGATAAGATAAAGAGTTGACGACGTGGACTGATAAGAGACTGACTTGACGACGTGGACTGATAAGATACTGACTTGACGACGTGGACTGATAAGACACTTGACGACGTTGACTGATAAGATACTGACTCGACGACGTGGACTGATAAGACACTTGACGACGTTGACTGATAAGAGATTGACTTGACGACGTTGACTGATAAGATACTGACTTGACAACATAGACTTAACGAGTACTGACTGAGGAAGATTTCAATTCTCACTTAATGATGACTTCGACGACTTATACTTTATCTGATATTGTTTTATTTAGACATACATTTACTAGATATAGTGACTTCCGGCGACTATGATTCCATATAATCAAGTACTGACCTGGACTATGGAAATACTATCTGTTGACCTGGACACTCATGAAGTAATCTTTTGCTAACAAAGAAACACCCAAGATTTACTTTAATTGAACTGGACAGATATCAAGTAATACTTTCGCTGACCGAGGCTTCCATCAAGTACGACTTCCCGCTGATATCAACTCGCATCAAGTGCTATCTTCCCCTGGTCTTAACTCAAACCTAACATTATCTTACCTACTCTTACATTAAGTACTTCATTCGCTGAACAAGACTGGCATCAAATAAAAATCATACTGGCATCATTGACCCTTATCACTGGCGCATTTCTTGTGAGTTATAAGCATGATTACTTGTTATTTTGATTTACATTTGCAGTGATTAGCTACTACTTCTTTTGTACATTTAATAATTATTTATCCATGATGGGCATATAAAATATCCGGCTGCCTCTGTGTATGCTTGAGGCTGCTGTAGGCTTTAGACTGGCAACAATTGTGTAGTTGTATTTCCTTCACACATGCCGCTAGTGTGTGAAATTCATAGATTTCGTATTTCGTTCTAAGTGTACATTTACAAAGAAATCTGATTTGTGGAAATTTAGATGGTGAGTTTTTTTATACTTTTCTGCAGTAATTGTATTTTCGACTTGTCCTAAATTAGGTAAATATTGTAGATCGGCAAGTAGTCTTTGAAATAAAATTTGCCATTTGTAATTTTCATCGAGAATGACAGTCGTCTTCCTCTCTTAGAAGCGCCTTGCTTGGTCATGAAAGTCTTTCATTGATGAAGATTCTTTACTCATAATATGTATATAAAAACTTCATTATTTCTTCAACTACGGGCATTGCATGGTTATTTTCTTGCATTAATCGTTGTATTCTCCAACGTCAAAAATTAAATTTTGACATTAGTTTTAAATTTTTGGTGTGTTAAGTCGTTAGTCTGAATGCTTGAAGCTTTAGTTCCTGTATTGAATACTTATTCAAACTTTCATCAGTTCTCTTGATACTCAAAACCGTTATTTTGTGTGTAAATTTCCAATTTCTTTTGTAATTAATTTATTCTTATAGTCTTTTTTACACAAGCCCGTATGGACTTTCAAAATTTGACGTAAATCTTGGCATTGGGGAAAAAATATTTTGCTTTCAAGTTTACTAGCAACGCTGAGTTGTAGCAGCAGAAATATATGCGAGTGACTTCCCGACAATTAATTTATTGTGGATAGGTCATTGTTTTGAATAGGTCATTGTTGTGGATAGGTCATTGTTGCGGATAGGTCATTGGATACGTAGGTCATTAGGGCTAGGCGAATAGTCAGCAGAAAGTTCCACTAAAATGTAATAGGATGTTGCCTAGAATTATGCTTGTACAGAATATATATCAACGGTAACCGTCTCAATTGATCAACAAGTTCTGTAAGAAAATCCATGTATTTTTATACGCTTTTTCTCGTAGTTATTTAGTCTAATTCGTGTAAGATGTCACAGGCAACCGCCTAAGTATGCCTTCTTATACCGGGACACTTTATAATATCTTTAGTTCCATTGTGCTTCAGTTAGCTATCAATTCATTTAATTTCCGATTTAATCATCATATTTCAATTGGCTTCCAATTTATTTACTTTCCAGTGTTTATTTCCATATGTGTGAAGAAATCTATAAGTTCAAGGCAACGTATCACAAAACAACAGCGGATAGATTCTCCCTCTGAACATTTAATTCTCTACCTAACGTAACGGGAGCTGGAGTAGAACTTTATAAAGTTCTAACCTGATATCTCGACCGTCCTTCATTAAATTCTAACCTGATATCTCGACCGTCCTTTATAAGTTCTAACCTGCTATCTCAACCGTCCTTCATTAAGTTCTAACCTGCTATCTCAACCGTCCTCTTATTAGTCTCTTCTCATGGGTTGTGAGTAACCATAGATATGCGTATATTGTAAGTTCCAGGGTATTCGTTTTCATAGAATAACGCAGATTTGTTTTACGCAACATAAACTGAACACATATTGGCCAAGATTTATTGCACTAATGCAGTTAAAGCTTGCACATTTTTGTAACCAGTTGATATAACACTTCAAATATACTTCTTTCAGTAAGTACAAAAAGATAGGAAATTGGTCCGTCACTAATAACAAAACTCGTTTTTTTCATGTTTCTGGCTACCTATAAGATTATCAAAATTACTATATGTGAGAGGGCATTGCTACTTTTTAATGTTCTGTGTAGAAATGTTAAGCTTAAGTCTTGTGTAAGATAGCTAAATTGTACTTTAAAGTAATCTCCATGGCACCCATTAGTGCCTTAGACCGTCCATTACTGTAATAACTGCTCTAAATAAAGCAGCTACGATCGCACAGTTCGTAAATAATCTTGGCAGTGTAATCGAGCTAAGTCCAACTTTGATATTGGATAGCTTAGTTCTCGAACGCTAGCCTTAGCGCTAGGATATATATTTTGGGTGTTGTGTCCGTAGACTTTTCCCAAGATTCCTTTTCTGCTCAACGTGTCTAGCCATACTCACCCTTGATACAAACTTCGTAACATTGGCATTCTTTTTGGTATTATTGTTTTCCTATTTATTGTAATTTCTGTAAATATCGAGGACAACTTTTTTTTTGTTACAGGTAGATCGAGTTGCATTTCTAAGCTAAGTCTGTTATTACCAGATAGTGAAACTTGTTAAGTTTGTTTTTTATTGATTTCGAGCTCCGACTCTCCTATATGGACGTTTACTGGTAATGGAATGTAATGAAACATTTTATTACTGACATTAAAAATAAGGGTTATTGTTAAAAAACTCATGGCATTACTAGAAAATTTCATCGATAATACTTGAGCGCCGATTGTACAGAAAAATTCGACCTCGCCTAGCGGTGCTGCAATTCTTCAATAGAATTATGCTTTAAAAGCACCAGTTTTTCGATATAAACTCAAATTTCAAAATAAAACGTTCCACTTGAGAAATTTCACTATAACCCTCGGCAGAGTCGGAAGCTTCATGAGGCATTGGCTGTAGATTGTAAGGACATGGACGTACTTATCTTCATGGTGTGAGTGCAGTAAACAATATTTTTTGTACGTTTCTTTTCATTTTACAATCCTTCTCTTGCCCACGGGAGATACTCGGTACGTTTCGATTCTTGGCGAGTTGAGTAAGAAATTCTAATATTTAACAAATTATTAACAGTAAGCAATACATTATGTATTGAAGCAGCGGATATCTCTCATTCATATATATTTTTAATTATTTTAAATTTCCTGTAAACGAACATTTCAATCAAGCGGATAACGAACTATATTTACTGTAAAAAAATGAAAAGACGTGAAGTTGTCTGAAGCGTGAATGAATGTACCAACAACCCCTTAATTAATAATAACAACCCCTTAATCAACCTTAAGTGAAAAAGGCGCACTACCAACACTTCATATTTTATAGTACATTTTTTGACACCTCTTCGATCTCTTTTTCTACATGGAAAAAATATTACCGATGAAGTCGCAGTCAGGATTAAAGTTAAAATTAAAGTCAGGATTAAATTTTACAAACTTTGTTCTAGTGAATGCAATTGAAATGAGAGAAAAACCTGAACGAAGAGAACATACTCAAAATACGCACAATCTAATTTCACCATAGGCAATTCAATAGAGCTCGTAGAGCACGTAAATAAAATTAATAAATGGAATATAGAATACATAACTGAAAATGAACCACACATCAATGCGAAAATAATAACAAAGAAGCCTCTAGTTGTAAAACAAACATATTTTTTATAAGCAGCGCATTAAAAATTCAAACATATAAATAAATCAGGTTACAAATGCAAACATCAACGATCATATCCAGTGCTGCAGGCAGGTAGGTATTGGCGAGTGTAACTCCAACACATGCAACATACTGAGCAGTGACTGACGTTCATGACGGGGTAAATACATTAGATTAAATAGTGCTCGTCTCGCTAGTATCCAACCAAACATCAACGCCGAGCGATGCTTCTCATTTAGCGACAACGTCAAGCGATTCTGCATCTCCAGATGAAATTAATCCAAACGCTCCAGCTGCAACTGATCCAGGCGCTCCAGCTGCAACTGATCCAAACGCTCCAGCTGCAACTGATCCTTCAGCTGCAACTGATCCAGGGGCTACAGCTGCAACTGGTCCAGAATTGCTAGCATGGACAGAATCTCCCTGCAAAGAAGTTTCTTCCATTGATGCCACAGTCTCTTGACTGAGCACATCAGTCTCAGTTGCATCAGCTGACAGAGCCTTTGATTGTGATGAAGTTGCTTCACTCACTGGAAAAGAACTCTCGCCTGAAATCTCGGATTCCCGAACATCGTTTCTCGAGTTCCATTCTAAATTCTCCGACAATTGGGAAGTTTTATTTTCAGAAACTTCGTTCGGATGAGACGATCTATCTACGCTAGTAGTTGCCTCTACAACAAGATCGCTGTCTTCGGTTAGATTAGAAATAATAATTCCCGTATTTGCTTCATCGTCTTTTGTTCCTGCAATTTCCAGTTTTTCCAGTTCAATGATCTGATCTTCAGTGTCAGGGGAAACGTCCGTAGGAGTCCGGGGAATGAAAGGCTCCAGGGGGCGGCATATCTCGTCTATGTCAAGCTGCCCGAAGTTCTGCACATAAAAAATCATTTGAATACATCGAACAAATGAATATGATACAATAATACAAATGAATTAAAAACTTTAATAACTGCCCGCAGTCAATGTGTTTTTTTTCTAATTCCTTTCCCATTTGAAACCTATTTCAAGTTTTTTAAAACCTTTATGAATTTTCTTTCTAAATCTAGAGAGAGAATACCGGTATGTGAAAACGTCTTCTTAACAGCTAGCGTGACTCTCACTCCTGAACCTATTCACCCCTGAACAATCAAAAAATTTTTAAACATGCTTGTCAAATACGGCAAAATGCTTGGGACTTGGGACTATTTTTTTAAAACATATCATGATGTTGGTGCTGCGATCGGAACGATCAGAATTTTCCTAGCTTGCTGGGATTCGAATTCGCTTCTCCAATCTCACAGCACTCCATAATTTACCGAAGCAATCGCTCACCCTCCTAGCCAGCTGGACGACTCACCCTCCTAGCCAGCTGGACAACTCACCCTCCTAGCCAGCTGGACAACTCACCCTCCTAGCCAGCTGGACAACTCACCCTCCTAGCCAGCTGGACAACTCACCCTCCTAGCCAGCTGGGGGGCGCTGGCGCCTGACACGGCTGCTAGGCGCGCCAGAGGGTACAGGCGCCTGACGCAGGCGTTGAGGTACGGCAGGAGCACGGCGCGCACAGCGGCGCACAGGCGCGCGTACGCCGCGTGCTCTGCGCCGCTGAAGCCTGCGCTCTCCACCGCGTGCAGCTCCACCAGCCCGCGCACCACCTGGCCATGTCAATGATCATGATGTGTGCAGCGCATGAACATAACATTTAACATAAAACATAACACAAACATAAAATAACATAACGTAATAAGACATAACATAATAACATAATAAGACATAACATAAGATAAAAACATAACATAAATTTAAAAAACATGAATATAAAACAGTGCACTTATAATGTGATGTGCACAGCGCATAAATGTAAAGACATAACGTAAACATTATAAATAATACCTACAAACATAAAAAATAACACAAACATAAAAAAAACATGAATATAAGAACAGCGCACTTATAATGTGATGTGCACAGCGCATAAACATAAAGACATAACATAAAGATAAAAAATTAATATAAACATAGAATATAAAAGAAACATAAAAAACAAGAATACAAATATAGCGCACTTATAATTTGATGTGCAAACATTGTGAACGAAGTGAGGTATACACAACTAAAGCAACGGGCGCGTTATGTGATGAATAAAGTGAGGGCTGGAGATGTGAGGGGCGGGAGATGTGAGGGACTGGAGATGTGAGGGACTGGAGATGTGAGGGGCTGAGATGTGAGGGGCTGGCAATGAGCACCTCACAATCACCACACATAGAACCCTCACATCACCAAGTCCATCATCACCTTCTGATCACCAGGATCATCACCCCTTTAATCACCCAGAGGGGTGATACTCCCTCTCTCATCACCCTGACCCACCTTATGCAGTGACGCAGTGGGCAGTGCCACCAGTGCAGTGACCCACCTTATGCAGTGACGCAGTGAGCAGAGCCACCAGTGCAGTGATCCACCTTATGCAGTGACGCAGTGAGCAGTGCCACCAGTGCTGACCCACCTTATGCAGTGACGCAGTGAGCAGTGCCACCAGTGCAGTGACCCACCTTATGCAGTGACGCAGTGAGCAGTGCCACCAGTGCAG